GTAACAAGATAAATTATAAGACCAAATAAAGTTGACTAAAACTTCTCTCTGACATAATAGGACATGATTGACCATAGTTTATGCAATGTGCAGAGATGGGTTTATTATCAATATATCCAGATTGCAATTCAATACAAACAAATCTAAAATAAATTCCTCTACATATAACTATCATGCAAAAGAAGAATAAATTATAAAAAAGAAGAAAAAAGGAAACAGAACAAGATTAGGAACAGAAAACCTAACAAACAGAAAATAAAACACACAAAAATGCTCCGAAATAAATGGCAGCTTGACGATAGCGATTAAATGAATGAAAAAACTAGGATTTCAAAAATCAATAAATATTTGACTAGATATCAGACAGATAAGGTCAGTTTGGAAATTTGTTGCTTGATAAACGTTTAATTCTTGACGTCCAACTAATTTAAACACCTTCAATATTTCAGAAAACACGTCTGGGAGTTTAAATAAGTCGGACATATTTTGGTAGCTTACAATGCAGTTCTAAACGTTAGGAACAAATATTATTTTAGATTTGATTTTAAAAAACAAAGAATATTTTGTAAATTGTTTGATTGATTAAACATTGTTTTATAAATTTTAAATATACGACTGTTAACAATTTTCTTTTCAAAAATGTTTTACTTGTCTTAAAATCCCTCATATTCTAAAAATGTTTCTAAACTGTTTTATAAAAAGCTTGAGGATTATGCTATCAAAGTTTGAGCTCTTTTTGCGACGGAACGGTTTTCTTATAAAAAGAAGGATTGTAAAGAAATATAAAATATGGAAAGAAAGTTTGGAACCAAAATTTAAACTTAAATAAACTTTTACAAAAAAAATATTTAGTGACAATGAAAGATAGAAAGATAGAAAGTTAGAAAAATAAATAGATAGAAAGATAGAATGATAGAACCCACCACCAAGGATGAAGAGTGGAACATGATGATGGTCTTCTCCGTCCTCTCCTACACCTAAACCAACGGAAGGACGAGATTAAATCCATCCTTGATCTAATTAAATGATTTTTGATTTAATTTAGTTGAACCATTATACCTCCACCATGCACGCATTTTTTCTCCATTATTATGAGATCTGATGAAAAAATAATTAAGAAATAATTAAGCATCTATTCCGTCCCCCTGCTAGGACGGATGCCAAGAGTAAGAATGAGAATGTTGAGAATGAATGGATAATATTAATGTTGGAAGTGTATCTCCGGAAAACGTTGAACTAAATTTTCAACTCCGAGAGAGATAAAAACATATACGTTTACTTCGGGTTTACCTTTCCTACTGGAGCTGGTTTTATAGAATGGAGAAGTTTCCGACAACCTTCTCCAGTGCACCGGAGGAGTCCGGAGTCCACCTGCTCCGTCCTGACCTCGTCCTGGCGGAGTTCGTAGTCCAGGGAGATCAGAAGATCGTCTTTCATAACTTCAGATTATAGATTAAGCCTAGAGCTCAGAATTCATTTAGTAAATGCAAACTCTTTAATTATCAATAAAACTACCGTTAAAACTTGTTATTTCACGCTGGAAGCTAAACGTCTGATTGCTGCAGGGTGGAAGGGCTGGGTTGTAAATACTAATTGAAAGATAATCACGCAACCTCGTCAAATAAACAATTTATTTATACGTGACATTGTCCACATAAACTTCCTGGTAATAAAACATTGCGTTGAAATCTCTGATCATTCTTCTGACCACTCCTCTTTTACCATGTGACTTATTGTCCGCCCCCCCCCCNTATTCTATCCCAGGTTAAATATTTACAGTAGCCCTCTAATTATGTTTGATTCGCCCCTTTAATTCCCATATTCCTCCCTTACCCTTAATCTCCCCCCCCACCACACTCTTATATCTTACCTACTATATTTATATTAACTACTGTAAAAAATTTAAGTATGTAATTTTGCAGATTTAATGACTTGCTCAAGGTATTAAGGTTTATCTGTAAATCCCTGGATCTTGAAAACCTTCTTTCTCTCCCCCAGGACCCGGAGCATCTCCGTTCTCGACCTCCTCCCGATCCGGAGCATCGTCTCTCTCTACTCGCAACACCGCATCCGAGGGAGCCGGCGCATCTTGAATCCCGGATGGACGGATTGTATCCGGATGATCCGGATGATGTGACAGAGCCTGAGAGAAAATATGAATTATTGTTTGTTTTCTGAAAAAGAAAATTTCTTATCGAACTTTTTCCCAAAGGAATTGAGTCTTTTTCACAAATTCTGATTTTTTAAATCCTGTATCTTTGCAACCAAATGTCGTAGATCTTAGATGTTTTAAACGATGAATTCTGTCAGATCAAATTCCTAAAGTTTACACTTTCAGGTTGCAAAGATGTAGGGAGGAGACAATATGAGGTTTGGGAAAACTCAATTCCTTTCTGATTTGATAGGTTCGTACTATACAGCCAGGTACAGGGTTACTCACAAAGAAAAATACTTCAGAGATGACTGTACAGAATTCAGACTGTCTGTTACCTTATATTCACGATTCCAGTAGCTGTGAACTTGTTTCTTGTTTTGTCAAATCATTAAATAGGCCATAAGATAACTATTCTAGGTCAGAATCATAGAGAATAGAATATATATTAGAGAGGAATTTAAAGAATCTCTCGGTATGAATTTTTTCAGTCCCTTTCAGCCTGAAAGGGAGTTCAAAGTGTACAAATCATGTAAATGTTCACAAATTATGTGCAGTAGAGTACATTAATACAGTATGTTAAGTATGGAAACAGTACAACAAAATGGCCGTTTTACACTTTTTTCTAGTAAATTCCCCTCTAATATATATTCTATTCTCTAAGGTCAGAATACATAATTTAATCTTGGGATCGTCACATTTCAAGAGTTTCCGATCAATTCTTTACAGTCTCATCCACTGTGGGTAAACCTGTATGTCCGGGAGTTTTTTTTTAATAAAACATATCATTATTGCTAATGCGAAGCCATATAGTTTAAATAGAATATGATAATTCTTAATTTTTTTAACAAACATCAATTTTATCTAAAACAATATTTATTCCCAATATTTTTGAAAATAGATTAAGTATAATCTCCTTTGAAAAGGAACACAAGAATTTGAAACTTAAATTTCCTTATTTTGGTTTTATTTGAGCTCAAAGTACGGTTTGTATCCAGAATAAGGTTTCTATTTAGCAAATCATGAGAAAAATAATTCAATCAGTTCTGCGCAATTTATCATAAATATTATTTAGGTTCGAGAGAAAGATATTGAAAAAAAATTAAAATCATTTCTGTTTTGAAAACAAAGAAATAAACTCTAATAGAAAGAAAAGCAAAGAGAAATAATCTACATATATAAAGTTGTAATCTCTGTCTGTCTATCTGTTAGTGTGTCCGATCATAACGCAGGAACCCCAGGACCGATTAGCCTCAAATTTTGAGTGTATTTTGGGAATGTTCTTAGCTTGGTTTTGATATTCTAAGTTGAGTGGGTCGACTTAAATAGCGAAAATTTAGTTTTCCGGTAAAATCGTTCAAGTACGGGTAAACGGCGGAGTAACTCTTAGTAACCTTGGAAGCGCTGAGTTCCCATGCTAGTTTAAATATAAAATGAAAGAAAAGATAAGTCTCAAAACTAATCTTTGTCCGAATTTAATGAATTTAAGCCACGTCTCAAATCCACAAAAAAACCGGTTTCAATTGAGCGCCGGCTTAAATCTTGAAAGTGGAACCAACCATATTTGAGCCGCGGCTCGCTCAAATTCTTTAAATTCGGCCTCAGGACAAACTAAATGTTATGAATTTAAAGGACTCAAGGGTAAATCTAAATTAAAAAAAGTATGAGGTCCTATTCACAACGGTCCCTTTATCTTGTCTCATCAAGAAAGCAAAATATATCCATTATCATCTCTTTAAACAGGAAGGAACTTCTCAGAATTAAATACCTTTCAAGCTTTTAAACGACTTTATTTTTTAAACTATTAATCATTTAAAGTTAGAATGGTATCGTTGTACATGGGCATGTACCTCTTTTTAAATTGCAGGTAACTTTAAATTACAAAAAAGTTTTTTTAAGAAAATTAAATTACAAAGAAAGTCCCTTTAAGAAAATTAAATTACAAAAAAGTCCATTTAAGAAAATAGAATTACAAAAGAAAGCCCCTTTAAGAAAATGAAATTACAAAAAAGTCCCTTTAAGAAAAAAAATTACAAAATAAGTCTCTTTAAAAAAATGAAATTACAAAGAAAGTCCCTTTAAGAAAATAAAATTACAAAAAAATTTCCTTTAACAAAATAAAATTACAAAATAGGTCCCTTTAAAAAAATTAAATTACAAACGAAAGTCCCTTTAAGAGAATGAAATTACAAAAAAGTCCCTTTAAGAAAATAAAATTACAAAAGAAAGTCCCTTTAAGAAAATGAAATTACAAAGAAAGTCCCTTTAAGAAAATGAAGTTACAAAAGAAAGTCCCTTTCAGAAAATGAAATTACAAAAAAATCCCTTTAAGAAAATGAAATTACAAAAGAAAGTCCCTTTAAGAAAATGAAATTACAAAAGAAAGTCCCTTTCAGAAAATGAAATTACAAAGAAAGTCCCTTTCAGAAAATGAAATTACAAAAGAAAGTCCCTTCAAGAAAATAAAATTACAAAGAAAGTCCATTTAAGAAAATGAAATTACAAAAAAAGTCCCGTTAAGAAAATAAAATTACAAAGAAAGTCCATTTAAGAAAATGAAATTACAAAAAAGTCTCGTTAAGAAAATGAAATTATAAAGAAAGTACCTTTAAGAAAATGAAATTATAAAGAAAGTCCCTTTAAGAAATGAAATTACAAAGAAAGTCCCTTTAAGAAAATGAAATTACAAAGAAAGTCCCTTCAAGAAAATGAAATTACAATGAAAGTCCCTTTAAGAAAATAAAATTGCAATAAAAGGTGATGTAATATTAAGAGCTAAAAGCATGAATATTTCACTAAAACTTTAATACGAAAGCAAAAAAAGAAATATAAAAAGTTAATGAAGAAAAGTTGAAAAAAGAAAAATTAATATGAATGAAAAAAGTAAAAAAGTACCTCCTAGTCTCATTAATCTCATCAACCATCTGTTTATACTCAAATCATCAAAAACTTCAATCTGAAAAAAAATTTAGAATTAAAAGTTTCATAATTACTTCTTTAACACTCTTTAAACATGTTAAAAACGTGAATTTAAAACTTTATTTTATGCTCAAAATCAACAACTTTTTCTATTCTTTAAAATATTTTATTATTTCATTTTTCTGACAGATCTGCTGAAAGAATATTCATTTTATTACTCTTTAAACATGTTAAAAACGTGAATTTAAAACTTTATTTTATGCTCAAAATCAACAACTTTTTCTTTTCTTTAAAATATTTTATTATTTCATTTTTCTGACAGATCTGCTGAAAGAATATTCATTTTATTCAGTATTTTAGAAGAGAATTTAATAAAGTTTGGGGGAAGAATTTTCTAAAACTAAATATAATGGTATAGTGAAGAATATACCCCATACGTCAAGATAATGTTTGGATTGGAATTTCTAGTTTAAAGAGAAGAAAAGAGGATCATTTCCGACCCTTTCAGGAGAAATATTTCTCTCAATAATTGAAGAGAGCCGAAAAGTTTTGTTATGAAAAAATTCATTATTCTAAAACTTTCATTCTTTTCCGTTTTCTATTTTGATCTTTTGAATATAAAGTTCATTTCTTTTTGTTTTGTGTGAGTTAGACATTTTGGACATATCTTAAAACTGTAAAGTTACAATATATACATGATGCATAGAAAGAAAATGAATTTCATTTTCTTGACACGACATTTCAGCAGCAAATCTTTAAAAGTTGCAAAAAGTTAATGTTCTTTGCAAACATCTCTGGTGTATCATTTTACTTTTAAAACTGTGGGAATTCTTAGCAAGGTCGTAATGGCTATGCGAATTGAATTCAAGTGAATTTATAGCAACTCTTTTTATCTTCATTTTAAAAATTAACCCATTTAATAGAATTTAAACCTAAATTAGTCAGCAAGATGCTCATTTAAGTATTTACATAAATTTAACTAGTTTAAAACCCCGAAACGGCTGAACCGAGAAGATGATGATCAAACCTGGTTGATATCGTCCATCCCTAGGCTATCTAGTGCTTCTTCTCCACTCCCATCCATCCCTAGGCTATCCATAGAGTCATCCCCGCACTCATCCTCAGTACTACTCTCATCCACCAGATCATTCTAGAATATATCATAAATATACCAGATTATTCTAGAATATATCATATAGATATACCAGATCATTCTAGAATATATCATATAGATATACCAGATTATTCTAGAATACATCATATAGATATACCAGATCAATCTTGAATACATCATATATAAGCCAGATCATTCTAGAATATACCATAGATTTACCAGATTATTCTAGAATACATCATATGTAAACCATATCATTCTAGAATATATCATAGATATACCAGATTATTCTAGAATACATCATAGATATACCAGATCATTCTAGAATATATCATTGATATACCAGATCATTCTAGAATATATCATATAGATATACCAGATCATTCTAGAATATATCATAAATATACCAGATCATTCTAGAATACATCATATAGATATTTCAGATCTAAACAAATTAAATGAAAAATATAAATCTAGGCAAGAAAGTAGAGGTAGGATGATTATGTGACAATGGATAAAAGGAAAAGGAAGAATGAAAGGAAGGATGAAAGGATGAATGAATTAATGAATGAATAGGATTATCTAGATAAGAAAATGAGGTTAAAGGGTCTCATGAATTGTATAATTAAATTGACATATTGAATACAATGTGTTTACACAATATCGGTACAAAGGCCTATTTCGACAAACAAAAAGAATATTGTAGCCAAGAATTCATTTCATTCTGTTTCTCAGTAGATTAACAGGGAATTGATTATTATTATTATGATAATTTTCTATTAATCTACTCGACATTTTGCTGCTTAAATACTTGCTTATTTGCTGTTAATATAATCTACTCGATAATTTTCTATTTATCTACTCGATAATGCGTTAAAACTTTCCTACTATTCGTATAACCGAGTTAACCCATAAACCCTAATAACATCTTTAAGAGTATAATTTAAGAAATTTTTTCTTCAGTTCTCTTTGTTTTCGAAGCTTACTAGCTAAAGAAGTAATCAATAAAAACTGAGATTAAAAATATCAATTTAGCAGAAACTAGTTGTGCACTTTCTGCTCAATTTCACAACTTAATTAAAATTGTTGCCCTTGACACAAATTATTTTAACTTTACATGGAAATGATAATTTTCATTTTAATATTTCTAAAGCTTATAAGCTTAAAGGAATTGAGTTTTCACAACAAACTCTGATTTGATAATCCTTAAATTAATTAAATTAACTAAATGTCGTAGACCTTAAATATTTCAAACTATGAATTCTGTTAGAACAAATAATTTAAGTTTAAAATATTAAAGGTTTAAATCATTTTAGTTTAGATATAGGTTTTAGAAAATCAGAGAGTGTGGCTGAGACTCAATTCCTTTGTATAATACAATTATGGTTAGTATTTACATGGTGCACTGAGACTGTATACGTAATTTTAAGTCACATTGAATTTTAAGCGTGGAATGAGCGACTTACAACAATTTCCTTTCATTTTTTGAGTAAAGATGAGGAAGACATTGCCGGTTTTCTATCTTTAAAAAAAAATGCTGTCAATTTCATTCCTTATATCTGTTTTACAAACCCCAAGAAACTTATGTACAGAAACCACAATTAATATCCAGACAATGATGTACTTGGTGCCGTTCAGAATCAGGCAGGTAAATTTTTATATAAAGGGCCACTTGAAATTTCGTCAAAGTAACAAGTGACCCAGTTTTCTAAAACTATAAAAATATGAACACTGTAAATAAAATACCGGATAAGGTTATGTATAGGTAATGAAGGAAACTGAATATAATTTTTTTTCTTATTTCTGAGCTAAATAAAGAGCTCAACAGTGTTTTATAAAATTTATAAAACAGAGAACACCATTGGACAGTGTTTTATAAAATTTATAAAACTGAGAACACCATTGGACAGTGTTTTATAAAATTTATAAAACTGAGAACACCAGGACAGTGTTTTATAAAATTTGTAAAACTGAGAACACCATAGGACAGTGTTTTATAAAATTTATAAAACTGAGAACACCAGGATAGTGTTTTATAAAATTTATAAAACTGAGAACACCATAGGACAGTGTTTTATAAAATTTGTAAAATTGAGAACACCAGGACAGTGTTTTATAAAATTTATAAAGATGAGAACACCATAGAACAGTGTTTTGTAATATTTGTAATTACTATATCAGAGCTCAGCTGAGTTTTCATGTTCATGACAAAATATTGTTATTATCATTTACCTTACTTCCAGACAAATATAGATCTTCAAATTCTAAAACCGGTTCCAATCCGGGTTTTTTAACCAGGAATTCTCCGGGTCCTTGTATCTTTACTCCAGGTACTCCTGCTAGCTTGGGGTTTGATGTTGGTACAGGTTCTGTATCAGTTACGGAGCAGGATAGTTTTGCAAGTTGAATAATATCTTCTTTATTTTTCATAGGCTCTTGACTGGATTTGATAGCAAGGTTGGAAGCTTTAAATTCAGGGTTATGTTCTAATGTTGAAGCAGATTTAGTGTTTTCAGGGATGAGCCTAACTGAGACTGAACAGGATTCAGAACTTGTGGATGGAGAAGCTCCAGGATTGGAATAGGATCCAGGAGATTTATAATCTGGAGGAAGCTGTTGGAGAAAGCCGGAGGAAGTTGATAAAGAATCAGGATTTAATGGAGCATCTTTGATGCCAGGTTTTGAGGAAGCAGCTGAAAGAACAGCGATGGAGGCAGCGGCTAGAGTTTCAGGTTTAGAGAAAGAAGCTGAAGAATTAGACCTAGAGGAAGCAGCTTTATTGCCAGGTTTGGAGGGAGCACATGAAGAATCATTTTTACGAGGATCCTTTTTAGTTCCAGGAACAGAGGAAGCTGTTTTATTATCAGAGTTGGAAGGATTAGGTTTAATCTCAGGTTTAGAGGAAGCAGTTAAATTATCACATTTTGAGGAAATACATGAATTATTAACTATATTCATGAGTTTGTCGGGACCGGAGAGAGAAGATGTTGTATCACATATTAGTTTTGATTTTCTGACTAGTTGGCTTGACTGTAAATGTATGTTGGTTCCTGGTTCTTCTGAAATATGTTCTGGTTCCGGCTCCGAGACAGGTTTGACAGGAGACTCTACACCGGAGGGATGGATTATGTTTAGCCTAGGATTAGTTACAGGCTCTGTTATTATTCTGAAAGTTGGTTCTTTTTCTGAACTCAGTACTTCTCTAGGGTCGGAGATATTCTGTTGTTGTCTGAATATATCTCCAGGTTCAGTGACAAGGTTCAGGTTGGAACTTTTTATCTTATCCTCTCCCTAACACAGATTCAAAGTATTAACTTGATATCGGATTAGATTTTTTTGCCACTAACTCTAAATTTCTTATCCCATTATCTTTTTAACCCGATGTCTAAGACCTTCAAACTGTGAATTCTGTAGATCAAATAGTTTAAGTTTTATTATCAAAGATTTACACCACCTGGTTGCAAAGATCTATGGAATAGAAATATTTTTGCAAAAACTCAGTTTCTTTACTTAAAAAAATGATAATTTTTTCAGAACAAAATGAATCTGTATTTTCCTGTGATTGAGAAGAACTGTTTCCCCTCACCCCAGAATCTTTTTTCCAGATCTCATGGTTCAAATCTCGTTCGGTTAATCCAATTCCGTCTTTAGTGCGATCGTTCTTTCTCCGTCCTGATCCAGGATTCTGATCTCGCTTCTCTCTCCGTCCTCTTTCCATAATCTAAAATATAACAGATTAGATTATTACACCTTTCTACCCCCTCCTCCACCCCTGATATCCTGGTGAATAAAAACTCCACATCTTAAACCTTACACTCCCCAGTTTAAAGCAATGACCCTTGGTCAAAACTAAGCGCCAAGAATATCGTTGTTTAGAATAATATATTCCTAGTTAGGCAAGTTTTTATTCATTATTTATGCATATATACATTATACATATTTAAATATTACGTATACAAGCAGCAAGGGATGGAGTTATGTCAGAAAAGATCAAAATTAAGATGAATTGAATAGTCAGTGACTGAAGGAATTGTGGATGTAAAATAAGAAAATAAGACAGAAAAGAATATGAAAGAGTAAGGATGGATCATATGATTCTGGAGTAAGAATACATCATGATATTGGAGTAAGTATAGATCCTGATACCTGAGTAAGGATAGATCATGATACAAGAGTTTAAAGATAGATCATGATACTGGAGTAAGGATTGATCAGGATACTCGAGTAAGAATAGATCAGGAGAGTAAAGATGGATCAAGATACTGGAAAAGGATGGATCAGGACTCTGGAGGAAGGAGGGATCAGGATACTAGAGAAAATGATGGATCAGGATACTGGAGTGAGGATGGATCAGGATATTGAAGGAAGGATGGATCAGGATACTGGAGTAAGTATAGATCATGATACTGGAGTAAGGATGGATAAGGATACTAGAGTAATAATGGATCAGGACTCTGGAGTTATGATAGATCATGATACGGAAGAAAGGATAGATCAAGATACTAGAGTAAAGTTGTATCAGACTGCAGGAGTAAGGATGGATCAGGACACTTTTACAAGGATAGATCATCATACTGGAGTAATAAAGGATCAGGATACTAGAGTTAGGATAGATCATGATACTGAAGAAAGGATGGATCAACATATAGGAGTAAGGATGGATCAGGATGGATCGGCATATCGGCGTTAGGATAAAATAGTAAACTGAAGAAAAGATAGATCATGATACTGGTGTAAGGATTGATCAGGATACTGGAGTAAAGATAGATCATGATACTAGAGCAAGGATGGATCAGGCTCTGGTGTAAGGATAGATCATTATTCTGAAGTAAGGATAAATTAGGACTCTGGAGTAAGGATGGATCAGTATACTAGAGTAAGGATAGATCAGGATACTAAAGTAAGGATAGATCAGGATACTGGAGTAAGGATATATCAGGATACTGAAGTAAGGATGGATCAGGATACTAGAGTAAGGATAGATCATGATACTGCTGTAAGGATGGATCAGGATACGAGAGTAAGGATAGATCATGATACTGGTGTAAGGATGGATCAGGATACTGGAGTAAAGATAGAACATGATACTAGAGCAAGGATGGATCAGGCTCTGGTGTAAGGATAGATCATTATTCTGGAGTGAGGATAAATTAGGACTGTGGAGTAAGGATGGATCAGCATACTAGAGTAAGGATGGATCAGGATACTGGAGTAAGGATGGATCAGACTGTATCTCGGGGTTGATGTGAAAGTTTATCTTGAATCAATGCATGTATGCTTCCTAGGAAGAGATGCAGGTATCCACATAATATGAGTCACGATCCCCTCTCCCTGCAACCCCCCCCCCTTCCCAACCCTTTGCCACTCCACCCAACCTCTAAGTAATGCCGTGAAATGAATTGCAAATAATGTAAGCGTGTTTGAAATTTTGAATTTTGAAATTAAAACTTTGGTTTCAGATAAAACTATTTTTAATATTTAGCATGTTTCGTTCATCTCTATCCCGTTCTTTGTTTATAAACCGTTCATTCCATCCTATTCATAGTTTATATACCGTTCATCCCTATCATATTCTTTGTTTATTTACCGTTCATCCTTATCCTATTCTTTGTTTATAAAATGTTCATCCCGTTTTCTTTTTTTTGTTCTTCTACTGTTTATTCCTATTCAATTCTTTATCTAATGTTCATCCCTATATCTTACTTTTATTTCTCATCTTTACTTATTATCCTACCGTTAATTTATATATTTTTATATCTCTTTTTTTTTACTTTGATCAACCCTATCCATCTTTTTAAAGACCAGGCCACTAAATACTGATAAATTTAAAGTTATTTCTTTGTGGCTTTATTCCTTTGAGGTTTTAACTGTAAGTCTACTATGCATGAAGCTCTGTTTGTCTCAGATCAGGAGAGTTCTATTCTGCATTCTTCCCAGAAACAAAGAAACTTTTAAATATCAAATGATAAAAATTATGACAAAAAAACCAGCAATATTTGACAATAATTGGCAAGAACTAGAACAGCAATAATTGACAGAAAGAACCAACAAAGAAACAGCAAGAAACAATAAAAGTAATAACCAACAAGAAACAGAAGAACCAACAAGAAACAGCAAGAACCAAAAAGAAACAGTAAGAACCATCAAGAAAAGGCTAGAACCAACAAGAAACAGCAAGAACCAAAAAGAAACAGTAAGAGCCATTAAGAAAAGGCTAGAACCAACAAGAAACAATAAGAACCAACAAGAAACAGCAATAACCAAAAAGAAACAGAAAGAATCAACAAGAAACAGCAATAACCAACAAAAAAAGCATAAACTGAAGAAACTCATCAACTAGTAAGAAACAGCAAAAAATGCCAAGAATTGACTAGGAACGGCGAGAAATAGTAAAAATGGCAAGAAAGGGCAAAAAGGGCAAGAAATGGCAAAAATGCTCAGAAATAACAAGAAATGGCAAAATTCTAAAAAAATATATCAAAAAATGTTACAATCAGACTAAAATTATAATGTTTGACTATGACATGGATAAAACTGGTATAGTATAAATAAATTTAATTGGAAAGAAACAGAATATCTTAGGTTGGGATTATGTATTTGATTTCATAATTTTGTTAGAAAGGATGGAACTTTGTGTTTAATAAGAGATGAGCGGAAGGAGTAGATGAATTAGGTTCTATATTATTTTAGACTGAGTATTCTAACAATAATATCTTTGTTTCTCCGCCCTTATTATTCTTCATATAAAGACTAAATTGGCTAAAGAACAGATGCATAATAAAACATAGCTTAGTGGGGGGTAGAACGGATCTATTCAACACATGTATCTCAGGGTATATCAGTGTATTCGAGCCAAATTCAACCCTAGAGAGAAATCAATTAAAGATTTTAAACCCTCCCTGCTCTAATCAGAGGCGGAGCTCATAAACTTGGCAGCATTATGATCTTAGGTATATGTATTAGTCGTACATCTTTATTTAGGGTTCAACCTATACACTACACTTAACAATGAGTTAAACTACCGGGTATTTCATATTGTTGATCTGTCTAGTGGTTGGTTAGGTTTAAGATGGGAAGCTGAGGAAACCTAGTCATGAAGGGGTTTGTGAGGAAAACTAGTCATGAAGGGGTTTCCGACGAAACCTAGTCCTGAAGGGGTTTGTAAGGAAACCTAGTCATGAAGGGGTTTGTGAGGAAACCTAGTCATGAAGGGGTTTGTGAGGAAAACTAGTCATGAAGGGGTTTGTGAGGAAACCTAGTCATGAAGGGGTTTGTAAGGAAACCTAGTCATGAAGGGGTTTGTAAGGAAACCTATTCATGAAGGGGTTTGTGAGTAAACCTAGTCATGTAGGGGTTTGTGAGGAAACCTAGTCATGAAGGGGTTTGTGAGGAAACCTACTCATGAAGGGGTTTGTGAAGAAACCCAGTCATGAGGGGGTTTGTAAGGAAACCTAGTCATGAAGGGGTTTGTAAGGAAACCTAGTCATGAAGGGGTTTGTGAGGAAACCTAGCCATGAAGGGGTTTGTGAGGAAATCTAGTCATGAAGGGGTTTGTGAGGAAACCTAGTCATGAAGGGGTTTGTAAGAAAAACTAGTCATGAAGGGGTTTGTGAGGAAACCTAGTCATGAAGGGGTTTGTGAGGAAACCTAGCCATGAAGGGGTTTGTGAGGAAACCTAGTCATGAAGGGGTTTGTGAGGAAACATAGTCATGAAGGGGTTTGTGAGGAAACATAGTCATGAAGGGGTTTGTGAGGAAACCCAGTCATGAGGGGGTTTGTAAGGAAACCTAGTCATGAAGGGGTTTGCGAGGAAAACTAGTCATGAAGGAGTTTGTGAGGAAAACTAGTCATGAAGGAGTTTGTGAGGAAACCTAGTCATGAAGGGGTTTGTGAGGAAAACTAGTCATGAAGGGGTTTGTGAGGAAACCTAGTCATGAAGGAGTTTGCCTGAAAATATTGTCAATGTAATTTTAAATCCCTTTTGTTATGAAAGTACATATTTTTCTCTAATAAAATTCAGATATTTTCATACCATACCTTGCTTTATAAATTCACGAGATTTTTTCTTGAAAACTCCACGGAATGGTGTGGAATTCAAACAATTTCATTGTATTCGGTTATATTGGAACAATCACAAAGATTATGAAATTCAAGACAAAAAAGATGTCTTGGAGAAATAGACTAAAAGGGAACAGTTTGCTTTTGTTTGGAGGGTCCCTGAATATACAGTCGACAGCAGCTTTAAAAGGTTTTGTCTAGACTAAACGAGGAGGGTGGGATTTTTAACTTGGTTTGTTGAGTTTAGCCAGCAGGGGGGGGGTTGAGTTTAGCCAGCAGGGGGGGGGGGTTGAAATGATTAACTAAAGTCTGATTATAAAACATCTGAATCTGAATTGTAAAAGGACCGAAGAGATAAAAATGTCAAAAAGACAATATTTTTACCCAAAAACGGGCATATTCCACCACCCCCTGGACAGAGCACTAATTTATCGACTTAACCCCTTCATTTTACAGCAGATTTGGAAACACAATTCATATGTTCTTCAGTTAAATAGACAAATATAACTCATTTAATTCGTAAAATCATCTTGTCACCTGGTTCTTCTCTCCATCTTCCATCTTCTATCCTGATTCGTCTCCAACCTGTTACTCCAGGTAGGAAAAAGAGTACGGATAAGGGTTTGACTCTGGATTTAGTTCGGAATCTGTTGGTTTACTCTGGGTTCTCATCCTGTAAAAAAATATAATATTTTACGACAATTTTAACTTTTTTTCTTCTCAAGTTCTTCTATTCTCTAGTTCTCCTATTTTCTAGTTCTCCTAGTTTCTAAATCTCCTATTCTCTAGTTCTCCTAGTCCCTAAATCTCCTATTCTCTATTTCTCCTATTCTCTAGTTCTATTCTATAGTTCTCCTATTCTCTAGTTCTCCTATTCTCTAGTTCTCCTATTCTCTAGTTCTCCTATTCTCTAGTTCTTCTATTCTCTAGTTCTATTCTCTAGTTCTCCTATTCTCTAGTTCTATTCTCTAGTTCTCCTATTCTCTAGTTCTATTCTCTAGTTCTCCTATTCTCTAGTTCTATTTTCTAGTTCTATTCTCTAGTTCTCCTATTCTATAGTTCTCCTATTCTCTAGTTCTTCTATTCTCTAGTTCTCCTATTCTCTAGTTCTATTCTATGGTTCTCCTATTCCCTAGTTCTATTTTCAAGTTCTCTTATTCTCTACTTCTCCTATTCTCTAGTTCTATTTTATAGTTCTCCTATTCTCTAGTTTTTTATTCTCTAGTTCTATTCTCTAGTTCTATTCTATAGTTCTCCTATTCTCTAGTTCTATTCTCTAGTTCTCCTATTCTCTAGTTCTATTTTCAAGTTCTCTTATTCTCTAGTTCTCCTATTCTCTAGTTCTCCTATTCTCTAAAATTCCAATTCCAAGTTTATGAAAACCATTTTATGATATTACATAAACAAAATAAATATATTCTTAGTGCCTATAAAAGAATAAATATTGCAGTGCTAACTACCATTAACTCTAGTTTTAACATAAATACAAAAGCTTTAGAAACTTTTTCATTTGATAATCAGGAGAAGGGAAAAGTTTTTAAAATTTCCTTGAATCTGTCGAAATTTTCAAAGAATCAAAAAACAATTTTAATTTGTTTAATTTGGAAGTTTTTCTCAATTGAAGCAAGAAATAACCTTTAAAATTTAAAATTAAAATTAAAACTTTTAAATCCTCGAATAATAAATATTTAAATAAAATGAGAGAAGATCAACTTATGTTCAAAGAGCTGTAAACTTGGTGGATAGCATTACACAAAATAATGCAAAGTGACAGACTTTAGAAATATTTACAGAACAAATACAAAGAAAACATCACGAAACATCGACATGTGTATTGTGTACTAAAGGTACGTTTTATCTGGGATTAAAATGTCTAAACGGCTCGATCCGGAGAAACATTTCTTTGTGGAACCTCACTGGATCCTAGAGTCAAAAAAGAATGACCATCCTAAAGTTTTAACATTTTGTATTCTAAAAATGTTCCAGTAAAGCTATGAAAATCTACGAAAATTTAAGTTTTAACATTTTATACTGTATGAAAAATATAAGCTGACAGGTAAAAAAATCCTTAAAAACTAAAATCCCTGGTAGCTTAGTTCATGAATATAATATTTTTAATTTAACATCAAATTTCTATCTTTTCAGGTTTCATTTTCAGTTTCTAAAGGATGAAAGATGAGAAAGATGATTTCCAATCTTGAAATAGAATTTGTTTTGCTCAAAGGATTTTTTATCAAACTGGAAATATGTTTTCTATCTTCTTCTTATCTTACTTTCTCGTTTACAACAGAACTCCTTGGAACTGTACAGAGTTGGAAGTAGGGTTTCCATTATTCAGAGTAAAAATTTCATTTTGGAAACGGAATGATCCGGAAATTTGTTCTGTAAAGTGGAATTCTAGGAAATTTCGCGGATAAAATGGAAACCGGAATTTTTCCGGTTTACGTAACGTAACCTGGAAAATTTTCAAGTTTACGAAATTGAAACCGGAAATTCCGAAACCTTGTTCCGGAATTCCGGAATAATTCAGGTTTAAATTCCAGAAAAATTTCCGGGTTTCATTTCGTAAACCGGAAAATTTGAGTTTCCTTTCCGTAAACCGGAAAAATGTCCGTGTTCCGTTACGTAAACTGGAAAATTACATGATTCCATTCTAGAAACCGGAAAAAGTTCCAGGTTTCCATTCTGTAAACCAGTATGGGAAAATGAATTTGTGTAGTAAACTCAAAATTTCTTGTTTTTCATAAGACGTAGACTGTAAGTTTGTCCACAGGTTTCCACTCACCTCCCTGAAACGGAAACACCTCCCCCTAAAGTTTTAACCATTTCAACACAATTTTAGACATTAAAAGCAATGTTATGATATTAAAAGCAATTTTATGATATTAAAAGCAATGTTATGATATTAAAAGCAATGTTATGATATTAAAAGTTAAAACTTATTAGTTGACATATATTAAATACGCATTCAGTTCTTAAATATATCTTTAAGGGGGGAAAAGCAAAAAATTTATTTCTTCTTGAATGTCGTCTTCTTTTCAAGTCATCAATCAATTAATATTTACTTGAGAGACATAGACAGTTTTAATATGTTTTTTAGGTTTCCAATATAAACTATTGAGAGGAAGAAACTGAATCATTTTCATTCATCAGGTTTAAAGAGACACTTCATCTGGCAGGTTTAAAGAGATACTTCATCTGTCAGGTTTAGAGAGATACTTCATCTGTCTGGTTTAAAGAGACATTTCATCTGTCAGGTTTAAAGAGACACTAAATCTGGCAGGTTTAAAGAGTCAATTCATCTGTCAGGTTTAAAGAGACACTTCATCTGGCAGGTTTAAAGAGACACTTCATCTGTCAGGTTTAAAGAGACACTTCATCTGTCAGGTTTAAAGAGATACTTCATCTGTCTGGGTTAAAGAGACATTTCATCTGTCAGGTTTAAAGAGACACTTCATCTGTCAGTTTTAAAGAGACACTTCATTTGTCAGGTTTAAAGAGACACTTCATCTGTCAGGTTTAAAGAGATACTTCATCTGGCAGGTTTAAAGAGACACTTCATCTGGCAGGTTTAAAGAGACACTTCATCTGTCTGGTTTATAGAGACACTTCATCTGTCTGGTTTAAAGAGACACTTCATCTGGCAGGTTTAAAGAGATACTTCCCCTGTCAGGTTTAAAGAGACACTTCATCTTTCAGGTTTAAAGAGACACTTCCCCAGTCAGGTTTAAAGAGACACTTCATCTTTCAGGTTTAAAGAGACACTTTTTAAAATTTATCTATCGTGTTTGAGGAAAACTTATCTGTTAGGTTAAGAAAGACATTTTTGCTAATATTTCCCTTTTTCGTTTTTATTAACTAGCATTATATACTAAACATCGCTTTTAAAATTTATCTCTGATGACAGTAAGAAAACAGTATAAGAATGATTAAGTTCAATGAAATTTAACCATTTTCCCACGTTTATATGTACTTTAACAGTGTTTGCCAACCTTATTTTTTTTTATTTTCAAGAAAATTGTTTGTTATTTTTACTTTAACGCACTAAAACAAATTTCCTATAAAAACACTGCGATACTTTTATCAAAATTTAAATCAACTAAAGTCAACTTAAGTCAAATTAAGTACCTTTCGGTCCTGAATAAATTAATTGATTCATAATGACGTATACTTCGTTCCTTGCCCGTCCCTTTGCAAAAATAAAAATATAAAATAACATCCTGCTCTGCGATAAATATTTTGCAGATTTTCATTTCATTTTTTTTTGCAGTAATGTGCCTCTGTTGGTTATCCATGTTTTGTTCACATTTTATACTTTTTACTTACATCGTAAATGCATAAGAAATAGATTAAGAACTTTATGAAAAATACTCCAGCAATAATGGAGCATTATAGAGTTGTATTAAACTAGGAGAAGGTTTGGTTCGGTGTACAGCAGGTGTGGATGGAATGGTCAAGGTGTCGCCTTATTACATTTCTAAGAAAATATCTATCCTGCTCCTCTCTGATACACTAGAATATGTATCTTACTCCTCTCTGATACACTAGAATATGTATCCTACTCCTCCCTGATACACTAGAATATGTATCCTACTCCTCTCTGATACTCTAGAATATGTATCCTACTCCTCCCTGATACACTAGATTATGTATCCTACTCATCCCTGATACACTAGAATATGTATCCTACTCCTCTCTGATACACTAGAATATGTATCCTACTCTGCCTTCATAGATACAAGGAAATATGTATCCTACTCCTATCTAATACACTAAAATGTTTATCCTACTCATCCCTGATACACTAGAAATGTGTATCCTACTCTTTCCTGATACACTAGAATATGTATCCTACTCTTTCCTGATACACTAGAATATGTATCCTACTCTTTCCTAATACACTAGAATATGTATCCTACTCTTTCCTGATACAATAGAATATGTATCCTACTCTTCCCTGATAACACTAAATTTTAAATAACTATAACCTTTCCTAGCACTAGTCCTGGAATAAAAGTGACGAACCCAACCTGTTACAAAATTTCTTCTTGTAAATTCACAGCCTCTGTTTGGACTGCTTAACTGTTCATCAAAAATATAATTCAGAAACTTTAGAGCTTTTTGTACAGTTCTTCCTGATTTCACGTTAATATTCACTCTTTCAAAACTTTTGAATAAATAACTTTGTAATTAACTTTTAGAACTTTTTGAATTAAACTCTTCTAGATGGTAGTTTCTATAAAATCATCATAATCTTCATCTCTGTCTTTTTCTCAGAACATTCTGAAAGAAATATTAATTCAATTTTTGCAAGAAAACTTTTCTTTCAGAAATATCAAAGTTAACAACGAATGATAAATATTATTCTTTTTGTAAAAAATTGTATTTTCTTTGAATGGGATATTGTTGGTTTCTGGTGTCAAGGTTAGCAAAGGAATATAGTTTATTTTCTCAGAAACTGAATAAAGATCTTGCTTTAGCTCTCTTTTTTCTCCTCTCTCTCCTTCCCGACTACAACTTCTCTCCGCCCTTACTTCTCTCCGTCCTAACTTCTCTTCGTCCTAACTTCTCTTCGTCCTAACTTCTCTCCGTCCTAACTTCTCTCAGTCTTAAATTATCATCGGATTTTGTTTATTCTAACTTAACTACATCCTAACTTCACAGCACCCTAACTTCACAGCACACTAAAATTCTCTACATCTTACATCCTTTCTTCTCTCTGTCCTAACTTTTCTGCATCCCAACTTCTCTGCACCCTAACTTCTCTACATCTTAACTTCTTCATAGCCTCACTCCTTGCATTACAACTTCTACATAGCCTCACTTCTCTGCATTCTAACTTCTCCATAGCCTCACTTCTCTGCGTTCTAACTTCTACATAGCCTCACTTCTCTGCAGTCTAACTTCTCCTTAGCCTCACTTCTCTGCATTCTAACTTCTCCATAGTCTAACTCCTCTGCATTCTAACTTATCCAAAGCCTCACTTCTCTGCATTCTAACTTCTCCATAGCCTAACTTCTCTATAGCCTAACTCCTCTGCATTCTAACTTCTCCATAGCCTCACTTTTCTACATTATAACTTCTCCATAGCCTCACTTCTCTGCATTCTAACTTCTCCATAGCCTCACTTCTCTGCATTCTAACTTCTCCATAGCCTCACTTCTCTGCATTCTAACTTCTCCATAGCCTAACTCCTCTGCATTCTAACTTCTCCATAGCATTCCAAACCAGTATTCTGCAATCCCTCCTCCCATACCCCATGAAGCATTGAATAATTTATACTTCTACTGGAGCAAGAAGGAGTATTTTCCTGTAATCTAATAGAACCAAGTCAATTCTCCGTATTCTAAAGTTTACTAAGATTACATAATAAACACGTCTGCTCCAGTTCATGCATCTGGTGGAGATAGAAAAGTCTACTTGAGGTCAGAACTTTTCTATGCTTAATCCATTCTTAGGGAGTTAAGCGGAACCCCCTTCCCCCCTCTCCAGGGTTTAATCTAAATCTTTTTTTATAACGCTTATTTAATTTGTTTTAACGTAAGTTTAAATCAAAAGTCAGGATTCTAAACATTTTGACACATAGTGGAATATCTACATATATCTTTAAATTCAAAAGTTTCAATCGTGGAAATCATGTTGAGACTTAGGATTAACTACATTAAAAGTTCCACCCTTCCAGCCCTTCACCTAAAGAATTCGCAAAACTATTTTTAATAAAATTTCTTATCTTTGCACTTGTTCCGTCTATCTCTTGTCCCGTCTATCTCGCATTCAGCCGCTAAAGAAAAACCCCTAACCGAAGTTTGACGTCGCTTAGAATATTTTTTAATCGGATTAAGTGTATCTGTGTAAGCTCGGAACTCGGAGTTATGAACTCCAATGTTTGTGTTGGAAGAAGAACGAAGTATTCTGAATTTGTTTACAAGGAACAGTGGAATATCGAGGGAGTTTTATTTAAACCAAACAATAATTAGTACGCAGTATTAGTGATTGCTTGAATATGGAGAAGTATTCTGAGAAACAGTGGGGTTCAACCTGTTCAACCAGGATGGGGGGGGGGCGTGGAGATACGTAAACTTTTAGCCAATTTAAGAACTGAGTATTTGCCACATATTCAAAAAATTTAGTTCTTTATACCTTGAAAAAAAAGTTAAAAATGTGAAAAAATTGAAAGATTTTTAAAATATAAATGTTGGATAAAAACGAGATTAAGACTAGTTTCTAGAAACCCTAATCTCTAGTTCCCAAGGGATGTGGATTATATTTAAATCTTTTAATACAGTTTTCTCCTTCGGACCATATCCCATAAATTCTCCTTAAACAACCATAATATAAGTTAAACTGACTTGGCAGATCCTACCTTCTCTTATCCAAACCAGTCCTATTTATATCCTATATCCTTACTCAACCCTTATATTTTAGCACTATGTATTCAAGCTTTATTTAGACTCAGAGTTATTGATCCAATTTTCTTTTTATATCTTTTCTATTCAAACTAATTGTTTAAAATTACATTTATCCTATTCTATTCCTTTAATGCAAACCTGCTCGATATCTAGTCCAATAGAATAACTTAGGAAGATTTATCTCCCATTCGGCATTTTGCATCATTTCATACCTTTCCTTAATACCTTTCCTTTCATATCTTTTTTATGCCTTTCCATTCATACTTTTCCTATAAATTCTGCATACTTTCACACATTTTTTTAGTCTTTTATCCTTTCATACCTTTCCTTTCATACCTTTCTTTTCATACCTTTCTTTTCATACCTCTTCTTTTATACCTTTCCTTTCAATCCTGTATTATTTCATACATTTCAATTAAATCCTGGCAAAAATATCAGAATATCAAATGCCAAATGATCAAAAAATGTACGCTAAACAGTTAGGACAATTTTTTGTTCAAAAATATCCCATACAATTTTACAATAAAGTTAATTTTAAGTTTAAGGTATTCTTAAACATATTTTTATGATAAAACGTCTGTAAAATGCAAGCTCTCTCTTTCACGCAATCTATTTTTCTTCTTTCTCTTCTTCTATTTTCTTCTCTTCTCTTTTTTCATATCTTTTCTTTTATTCTCTTTTCTTCTCTTCTCTATTCTTCTGTTCTCTCTTTTCTTCTCTTCTCTATTCTTCTGTTCTCTCTTTTCTTCTCTTCTCTTATCTCTTATCGTCTCCTCTTTGTTTTCTCTTTGTTGTTGACATTTAACCGGTTTTGAGATGAACAATGCAGTACGATCTGTTGTTATGATTTTTCTCTGATTTGTTTACATTTCTAGCTTGTAGACCTAATTGAAACGTACTGCGTTTGTACTCCATAGTTAGGCATTAGATCATTTGGCATGTTTTGATATTTTTGCTAAATCCGGTACCCTCTCATACCTTTCCTTTCAGTCTTTTTCCCTTTCATACCTTTCCTTTTATATCTTTCCTTTCATACTCTTCCTTTTATACACTTCCTTTTATACCTTTCCTTTCAGTCTTTTTCCCTTTCATACTTTTCCTTTCATACCTTTCTTTTCATACCTTTCCTTTCATACCTTTCCTTTTATATCTTTCCTTTCATACTCTTCCTTTTATACACTTCCTTTTATACCTTTCCTTTTACATCTTTCCTTTCATACTCTTCCTTTTAAACCTTTCCTTTTATACCTTTCCTTTTACATCTTTCCTTTGATACATACATAAAACCTTTCCGACCTTTCCTGTATCTTCATATTTTACTTTCCTTTGACCCTATACTTTCATATCTTTCCTTTAAGTCTTTTCTTCCTTAATCTTAATAAATTTCTTTATTTCTTGAACCATCAACCTATATAATTCATCTGTCAGCCTGTATTACATTATTTTTGCATTACAAGGTTTTTGCAGTTCTATTTCTGAGGCGTGACTAAGTCTGCTAAGTTTACGCCTGAAGAACGCGGCAGTACCAAATGAAGCGTGTACTCCATGTTTTTAGCGCATTTTTATCCAAAATAGTGACGAAATGTTAAACCTTGACAATACGTTGGCACTTCAGTCTTAAAATTAAATATTTGCCCCCGGCCCCCGTATTTATCAGATTGCAATGAATGAAAGTTAGAGTAAATTGAAGATTAGCTAAACTAAAAGCTAAATCGTGCACTGAGATCTTTTATTAGATCATACCTAACCATGATTCAGAGACGCAATAGTTCTAGGTTAATCCTCATTCAGTGATTTTAATACTACCAAGAACCCAAAGATTCCAAATGTAACCGATGAATTAGAAATTGAGCAGTACGATTGCAATTTTCATATTTTTTATTAATTAGTATCTATCTATTCCAGAGCTAACTTACTCATTTCAACTATTATATAGAGCTAAATTAGGACAAAACTGCAAGGATTAAAATCAATTCCAGTCCTATGCTCAGAAAGAGCAGTTCAGCTTTGTTATTTTCTTTGATACATTAATCCTATCCCTAGTTTAGTCCTGTTGAACCTAATGGCAAAACCTCTCTTAGAACTATAAACAATTTTAACTTTTATTTGTTATTCATTATAAATGCATATTTTAACTATTCTGCACAAATTTAGAACACAACTAAATATTAACTTGAATTATTAGTTTAATCTTAAAGGAATATCATTTATTCTCAAAGGTTAAAAAAAGGGGAAAAATAGGGATGGGCTTCGTTTTGAGTTCAGTTTCTACACATTCAAGGCTTGTTGGCTTGAACAATGTTCTAAGTCAGATTTTTATATATTTGCTTTTATTGCATAAAATAATAAATTTATATGACCAAAGAGTTTTTAAAACGATTTTACAATCGTTTGAAAGAAAGCAAACTTATCGAGCAGCCAATTTTGAAATAGGTCAAACACCTCAGAGTCCAAATTTAATGAATTTGAGCCGCGACTCAAATCCGCCAAAAACCGGTTTCAATTGAGCGCCGGCTTGAATCTTGAAACATTGAATACAATTCTAAGTGGAACCATCAATGTTTAAGCCGCCTCTCAAATTTAAGCCGCGGCTCAAATTCTTAAATTTCGGACTATGATATTTTCTAAAACCTCTTAAACGCGAAATAGCCTAAAATGATTAAAAACAATGCAAGAGTTAGACTGTTGGAGAGATAAGCATGACTACTTATTATTCTTTAAAAGAAAATCTTCCCGATTTATCTATAATTCACTTAATTAAACCTATCCCTGGAGATTCTATACGTATCTATCTATACTGTATTGTTGTCGTGAAACCTATCCCTGGAGATTCTATACGTATCTATCTATACTGTATTGTTGTCGTGAAACCTA